GGCCACCCCACCCAAAACGCGTTAATTGATTCAAACCCTTCTTCTTCAACCACCCACCATGCCACCAATTCGCTCTCAAAGCTCTAAAAATCTAGTAGAGCAAGAGGGTAGGATCTTATTAGCCATCCAGGCTCTTAAAAATCAAGAAATCTCTTCAATTCGCGAGGTGGCGCGCCGTTTTAATATACCACGTTCAACCCTTCAAGACCGACTACGCGGCCACCAAAACCGCGCGATTTCTCGCGCCAACTCTCATAAACTGACAGAAATTGAAGAAGAATCTCTTAAAAAATGGATCCTCTCTATAGATTCTCGCGGATCAGCTCCCCGGCCCTCTACCGTACGAGAAATGGCGGATCTTCTCCTTAAAAAGCGCGGAACTACCCCGGTTCTTTCGGTCGGCCAAAATTAGGTTACGAAGTTCGTTAAAAGGCGTCCTCTCCTCTCCTCTCGATTCTCGAAACGGTATAATTACGAGCGTGCTAAATACGAAGATCCGAAGATTATTACAGAGTGGTTTAATCTTATTTAAAAAACTATCCTTCAATATAGAATCGACCCCGACGATATTTATAACTTTAACGAGACCGGTTTCGCGATAGGACTAACGGTAACCGCGAAGGTTATTACGAGGAGTGAATTCTACGGTCGGCGAGCACTTTTACAACCTAGAAATCGTGAGTGGGTGACGGTGGTCGAGTGTACGAATACTTCCGGGTGGGCGCTTCCTCTATACGTGATTTTTAAAGGCAAAGTCTTCCTCGAATCCTGGTTTAACGGCCTCCCAGACGATTAGCGTTTCGAAGTTAGTCCGAATAGATAGACCTCCGATGAAATTAGACTTCGGTGGCTCGAAAAGCTCTTTATCCCTACCACTTCTTCGCGTACTAAGGGGGGGTATCGGCTTTTGATACTCGACGGCCACGGAAGTCATTTAACCGGGAAATTCGACGAAATCTGTAAAGAAAATAGAGTTATACCAATCTGTATACCTCCGCACTCCTCTCACCTTTTACAACCCCTCGATATCGGCTGTTTTACGGTCTTAAAACGGTCGTACGGTCGGCTAGTTGAATCGAAAATGCGGGTCGGGATAAACCATATTAACAAACTTGATTTCCTCGAAGCATACCCCCTCGCTCGAATTGAAGCTTTTAAATCGGAGACTATTAAAAATAGCTTCGGGGCAGCCGGTTTAGTCCCTTTTTCACCGGAGAGAGTGATTTCAAAGCTCGATATTCGGCTTCGAACCCCGACCCCCCCATCCAGCCAGGGTAGCGATTGGGAGCCAAAAACGCCTACCAACTATATACAACTACAAAAGCAAGCTTCCTCAATCAAAGCATTGCTTCGTACGAGATCAAGGAGCCCCCCGAGTCCGTTAAATTCTACGATAGACCAGGTTTTAAAAGCCTGCGAAATCAATATACAATCTACGGCTTTGCTTAAGAAACAAGTGAGCGAATTACGCGCTGCCAACGAGAAGCAGAAGCAAAAGCGTACCAGATCCCGGAGGCAGATACCTACCGAAGGGGGCCTCTCAGTTCAAGAAGCTTCTCAATTGCTTACTGAGCTGGTGGAAGC